AGAAAAAGACATTCACGAGAGAGCGGATGATCAGCGCACAAAATATGGCGCACGTCACTGCCAAATAGAGATGGATGGAAACTAGATCAACGGCTGCTTCAGTTCCGTTTAATTTCAGGACAATACAATGCAACGGAATCCGGGAAAAGCACTAATAAAAAGGTGGGAAACGATAAAGCGTATAACAAACGATAAAGCGGAAAACCTCACGCTCATCTGACAGCAGAAAAATATTATTAATTCCAAAATTTGAAACTACGGTGTATACAGGAAATAGACAAAAACAACCATAACAGTGAGCTTTTCATCCTAGCATTGACCAGGAAACATTTAAAACAATTTTTTGTATTTATTCATTATGTCTTTGCCTGTTTTCTTTCCCCTTTGGAGGGGGGTCAGTGGGGGGACGGTTTTGCATCCAATTGCAGTTGTAAAACAAGTGGTTGAGAGAGGCACATAAAAACGTTAGCAAAAACAAAGACAAATAAATTACACACAACTGAGTTATAAATTCTTACTCCGGGTCGTCATGACAACTGACGGGTATTCCTATGTCTGTTGCGTCATCCTGGAGCTGCTTGATAGAATCTTCCCCACACCTTTCACTGTAAACATGTCAGTGAACGACACAACGAGTCAAAAATTAAACCCTCTTGTAGGTAGCCGAGTATTATTGGGTCTATATCTGTATAATATATGTAGTATGGGATAATCTGTATCATATAACGATTTTAGTCTCGCCTTTCTCGGCACACAAGTATTGTTACCTTTGAAGACACGCGAAACAGTGAATTTCCTAGTTACACAATGTATACTGTTTATGGTTCAGGGTGTTGATGTAATGCACACATATACATCTACAGCAAGCTCGCCTGAGCCGTTTTTGTAAGATTTTCATTAAATGAAACCATGATCGAAATGCAGTTATAGTGAAGGGGTGTCATCTTCTGTAACTGATCAAGAGCAAAAATAGGCTCTCGTTACATTTGGATTTAGTATCATCATTTTTGCCTCGCTAATTCGATTAAATATGGAAACGTTGACGGATGAAATTTACCAGCTCTTCAACTTATTCTTTTGATTTTGACCTCGTTATATGATCCATGTAAAATTTGAGACTAACCCGTTGTTATATGTGGGACTCTTAATTAATTCCAAAAACAAAAAGAGGAAAACGTTGCCATCAAAATGTATTAAATCGCTAAGCGATTTTGTACATTTATGACCTCAACAACGTGTTTGAGTGCTTTTTTGCGTGGCAAAAGGTAAAACAACATACACAGATTTTACAGGAAGTATCTACTTTAAATCTCTCTGGTGAGTTTAACGGGAATATATATGCCTCTGCACAACTGGCGCAAGGTTTCTTACTGGGACCTTAATGCTTTGCAAGAAGGTGAAGTGCGATGGCTGGTTTGCAGTGTCATGCCATCAAAAATAAAAATCGTAACCATTCAATAAATTATGTCAAGAAGCTGAGATGTGAAAGATGACTGATATATAAACAACCCCGCCAAGATTTAGGTCTGTGCGGTTATTCATTCGCGCGTAATTCAGAAAAGTGTTTGACCCAAACTTATAGAGCTTTGTATGGAGACGCAATGTTGGTGCCATTCCGGGAGGCACCAACATGGCGGCCGTAAAGTAACAGAAACATCTGCCATTGAGTTTTGCCATCGAAACGAACAGTTATTACTTTAGAGCTCTGACACATTGAAATTAATACTTCCTCTAAAGCAAGAACTGTTTATTAAGCAAAAACTTGGGCAATAACTAATCTTTTGACCTACTCGAGAGCCTTTTAATGTCACGCAACGCATAAACTTGGAAATTCAAACGCTTTATTACATAATGAGGAACCCAGCAGGGCTTAAACGTTGCCAAACGTCAAGTCTTGAAAGGGTCTTGCATCTGATGAAACTGAAACTTCAGAGGAAGTGATAATTTATTTATTAATTCCTTTATATTTATCTTTTACTTGTATTTTATTTTGGAAAATGATGACGTCACATGAACAGTGTTTTCCGATGATAGCGCGAGTATAGTACTTGCGGGAGTAAAAAAAAAGTGCAATATGTTTTCATAAGCAAGCGCATAGGCGTACGGGCACCTTCGGACTTGGGTGGCGGTGACTCTCTTGCCCGAAAAATTTACGCCTTGCCCGAAGACGAGATTGTTGAGATCGGGGTGCAAACGCACTCAAATTGCATGAAAAACAAAAAACTTTCACAATTCCCACATCTAATGAAACTGCAATAATTCCAAAAAAAGTTTTGTACATAAGCAATCAATCGTACCCTATCAACAGCCTCAATCCTACTAAGATCTAAAAACGTATTAGAAGAAAAAACATCAAGAGAAAGTTACTAACTAGAAACTTCATTTACGAGTTTTGGAAATCACGCAAACAGCATTATTTTGCAGTGTTTACTCTTCAAGTGTCTTTGCCCAAATCAATAGCGTTTCGCCCGAAAAATCACATAATTTCCGTAGCTGGGGG